AAGACTTTTTGTGCATCTAAAAATATCAAAGCCATCTGCTTTTCAGGATGTGCTTCATAGTATTCTAAAGTGTTCAAGATTATTCTTATATTGTCTCGAATTTGTCTTTTGGGTAAGAATCCATTTTGGTCGGAGTGTATAAAATTATTCAAATATCTCTTAAGTCTTTCTGCCAATATCATAGCAAAGATTTTATAATCTGCGTTTAGCAGGGATATCGGCCTATAGTTTTTGATTTGTTGTGGGTCTGTCTCTTCCTTATGAATCAAAGTGATGTATGCCTCAGTCCATGTCTTGGGTATTTCTTTTTTTATCATTACTTCATTCATAACCTCCAGCATTGGGATCAATAGTGATTCTTGTAAAGTCCTATAATATTCGGCTGGCAGTCATCTGGACCTGGTGCCTTTCCATTCTTCTGTTTCTTAATTGCTTCAGTTAGTTCCATCGTTGTTATATTTCCATCCAATAACTCCTCAACCTCTTTGGGGATTTGTGGTAGTTTAGCTTTTTGTAAATACCTTGCCACTTTATCCTCTTCTATCACATCTTTCTTATACAATTGTGTATAATATTCTTGTATTATTTTCCCCATCTCTTTATTTCCAAATCTACTTTGTCCTTGATGATCAATAAATTGTGTTATTTTCCTTGATTCTCTTTCTTTTTTCAATTTATATGCTAACCATCTGCCAGGTTTATTTGCATTTTCAAAATAGTTCTGTTTAGCAGTTATTTTTTTGTGCTAATTCTTCCTTCTCCAGTAGATCCATTTTGTGCTTTATAGTATCCATTTTAGTGTTTACATCTTTCTTATATGGATCTTTCTGGAGTTCTTTTTCAAGTCTTTTATTTTATTTATTATTTATTTATTTATTATATTTCTATACCGCCTTTCTCCCGTAGGACTCAAGGCGGTGTACAGTCAAGAAAAAATATAGATACATAAACATCATAAAATTGCTAATTAAAATTATTATTATAACATAGTTTGTCCCAATTAAATAGAACCCAAAATTAGATAACATTTAAAAATCATTCACATGTTCATATCTTTAGCCCCGCCTGTTGGAACATCAGGGTCTTGAGGGCATGGCGGAAAGCACGGAGATCAGGGATATTTCGTATTTCAGGGGGCAGTTTATTCCAAAGGGTTGGAGCCCTCAGAGAGAAGGCCCTCCCCCTGGGAGTCGCGAGTCGGCATAATTTGACTGACGGTACCCTGAGTAGTCCCTCCCTGTGAGAACGAACTGGTCGGTGGGAGGCTATTGGTGGCAAAAGATGGTCTCGTAGGTACCCAGGTCCTAAGCCATGGAGCACTTTAAAGGTGATGACTAACACCTTGAATCACACCCAGAAGACCACCGGGAACCAGTGTAGCTCGTGTAGGAGAGGTGTTACATGGGCGCAACGAGATGCGCCCATAATCACCCGCGCAGCTACATTCTGGACCAGTTGGAGCCTCCGGGTGCTTTTCAAGGGGAGCCCCATGTAGAGAGCATTACAGTAGTCCATACGGGAGATGACTAGGGCATGAGTGACCGTGCGCAAGGCGTCCCGATCAAGAAAGGGACGCAACTGGCGGATCAGACAAACCTGATAAAAGCCCCGCCTGGCCATGGCCGTCAAATGCTCTTCTAAAGATAGCCGTGAATCTAGGAGGACACCCAAGTTGCGGGCCCTCTCTGTGGGGAGCAAGGTCTCATCCCCAATTGTCAATGATGGTACCAGCTGACGATACCGGGATGCTGGAAGCCACAGCCACTCGGTCTTGGAGGGGTTGAGTCTGAGCTTGTTTCTCCCCATCCACATCCGCACGGCCTCCAGGCAATGAGACATCATCGTAAGGGCATTGTTGGGGTGGTCTGGGGTGGAGATGTATAGCTGTGTGTCATCAGCATACTGATGAACACTCACCCCGAAACCACGGATGATCTCGCCTAGCAGTTTTACGTAAATGTTGAACAGAAGGGGTGAGAGGACTGACCCTTGCGGCACCCCACAAATAAGGTGCCTCGAGGTCGACCTCTGCCTCCCTGTCAACACAAACTGCGAACTATCAGAGAGGAAGGAGGAGAACCACCGAAGTACAGTGCCCCCTATTCCTAACCCTTCCAGTCAGTGCAGTAAGATACCATGGTCGATGGTATCAAAAGCCGCTGAGAGATCTAATAGGACCAGGATAGAGGAGCAACCTCTGTCCCGAACCCTCCAGAGATCATCAACCAACGCGACCAATGCTGTTTCCGTGCTGTATCGTGACCTGAAGCCTGACTGGAATGGATCCAGATAGACAACTTCATCCAGGTATTGGGGTAGTTGTCACGCCACCACATTCTCAACAACCTTTGCAACAAAGTGAAGATTGGAGACTGGACGATAATTTGATAAGAATAGAGAGAGCATGCACAATATGGTGGTCGCGTGGTGAAGCGCTGCGGTGAGATGGGGGATTTTTCGGGGCCTTAGGGGGTACTACAGGGGAGCTCAACCATCAGCAACCCCTACTTCAGTCAGATGGGTCCGGGGCGAGGGTTTTGAGACCTTCCTCGTCCCTGGACGTTCCTGGAGTCAGAAGCAGCAAGGGAGAGTTGAAATTGTGCCACTCCGACGCTGCCGACGCTGCCGAGGACTGCCGGGGGCTGAGAGCCGAGGCCCTGCTGGAGGGGAGCGGAAAGCGGAGCTGAAAGCTGAGGCATGGTGGCTTATCGGGCGAGAGCCGAGAGAGGAGAGCTGAGAGTGGAAGTGCTGCTGGAGTGGAGAAGGATGAGAAAAGAGAGCAGAGCAGTGCAGAGAGCGGAGATATGGTGGCTTATCATCGGCGGCGGCGGGTTCAGTCAGTGGAGCTCAGGGTGAGGGTTTTTTGAGACCACCCTCGCTCCTGGATAAGCCCAGAGGCATTGGCAGAGAAGATGAAGGTGAAGGAGGAAGAATGGCTGTGGGGCAGCGACTGGTGGCAGCCCATTGAATTTCCACCTAACCCACTCAGAAACTGAGAGGAGTATAAATGGGTCTTGGGATTGGAGAAGAGAGACCCCCACCCCCGGAATATCCTGGCAGCTGCAGAGGATCTGGAGGCCTCCTGCGACATTTAATGGAGGCTGGGGTCTGGAAGAACTGAGGAAAATAGAGCTGGTGGGCAACAGAGGGTTTTTCCGTCGCATGGACACCAGCCCCTTTTCCCCTCCCCCTCCTGGGTACTGTGTCCGCCTAAATGGGCTCATTATTTGCCCTAACTGAGGGAGTTCTCTCTCCCCCCTTTTCTTCCCCTTTCCCTTCTCCCCCCCCCTTTTTTTTTCATCAGGACTTACTCGGATGTGATCTTGAGTATAAGACTATGCCAAGGATTTTCCATCTTTACCCCTGATGTGACTCACTGACTGACTGATAGACTGATAAACTCCTCCTCTGACCATGAGTCAGCCAATTAATGCAACTGTTGAGGGGTCCTCTATTACATCATGATTCTCGTCTGTCGGAGAAGGTTTTTCGATCTACGGCCCCCTGGGGGCCAGAGAGGGCGGGCCAGAGGCCGTTCCCATTGGATGAGATAATCAGGACCCTCCTACCATCGTGGGAGGACAGTAGAGATACCAATAGTACATCAATGAACAAATGGCTGTGTTACATCTTTTGTGAAGTCCCCTGTTTGAGCTCCGTGCCTCCATCGCTGCATTTTGGAGATGTACACAACAGCGGATCTTCTTGCGCTGCGAGATTCCCCCCTCTCGCAGATGTGGCCCTCCTCACTATTGAGGGCCCACCTCAAGGACAGGTTTTGGGACCCAGAGAGGTGGCATGTGAAAAGTAGGGGATTGAGGGGTTTTCTATTGAAATTTTTAGTCAAATTTTTAAGGGGTCCCAGGGAGGGGGAGGGTCAGATTGGAATTTGGGCTGTGGCTATGGGGGATAACCCACAAGGGGGAGGGTCGGGTCTGGCAGTGAAACGCGGCATGGGGGATGGGGGACCCGGGGTCGGGGGGGGTTAGAGCTTGTCTGGATAGTTTTCTGAACATCGGTACTGTAGGTGGGAGGGGTACATATGGTGGGAGCAGGGGGCCATATCGTGTTAGGGGAGTGCGCACTCGCTGTTTACGAGTGGTGGCGTGCTCTGGCCCTCCAAGGCTCTACTCGCTCCTCAGGTTGCATAGACCCTCAGGACCCAGGCCTTCGGCTGATGCTGTGCAATGCCAGGTCCGTAGTAAACAAAGCCCCCCTCATTTGTGATCTTGTTCAGGAGGGGGGTGCGGACCTGGCAGGTGTTACAGAGACCTGGTTGGGCCAGGAGGGGGGGTTTCCCCTCATTGAAATGTGCCCGCCAGGTTTCCAAGCATTTCATCAGCCAAGGTCACGGGGAAGGGCGGGGGGGGGTATCAGTTATTATTAAAGAAGGTTTGAGACCGAGGGAGGCCACCGTTCCTCAGACGGCCAGCTGTGAATCCCTTTTTGTGAAATGGGGTCATAGGGTTCAGATGGGTTTGCTGATCACGTACCTGGCTCCCTGCCATGTGGCAACAGCCCTGCCCGAGCCACTCAACGTCATCGCTGCGGTGACAGTTGATACCCCTAGGCTTATGGTCATGGGGGATTTAACCTGCCGTCCGTGGGTGAGACGTGTGAGGTGGCTCGGGAGTTCATGGCTTCCATGACAGCTATGGACCTGACCCAGTTAATTCATGGCCCTACCCACACAAGGGGAAACATGCTGGATCTGGTTTTTGTCTCTGGACCACTGTCCAGAGAAACTCCCTGGATCACAAGAACTGCTCTTAAGAACTTCCATTTTCCAGAACTCTCAATGGCAGCCGATAGGATTTGGGGCCAAGGAAGCACACTAGGATTTTTAGCCAGCCAGGGAGAATCGAGCTGAAGTTCGCCTAGGTTTGTATCTTTGAGCCAAGCTTTCCCAAAGCTGGAGAGCTGAAGCTCCTCCTCTGTTGTACTTCAGAGGGGAATCTGTTGTGTTTGGATTATAGTCATTAACTGAGGCGAGGATATCAACGTAACATCGGTATATTTCAGGCAACAGCAAAACATTAGAACACTGAACTGTCAGTCTATCTGACAGCTCGCCTTTTTATACTGGGCAAACAGAACAGCAGTAACCAATCAGGAAACGAGTAACATAACATCCCACGCTTAGCATAACCCTGTCCCAACCAATCAGGTGCAGGCATTTCCATCGCTATGGTAACACGCCGACACAACACCTCTTTCCCCCTGGATGGCGCATGCGTAGTCCGCAAGGTACGCCGGACGCCTGCGTATTCACCCCGAACGTCGCAATTCGGGGTCAGCCCTTTGGAATGCGGCTCCACTGGGCATTGGAATGACAGCTCATCTGGAACTCTGGCCGGAACTGCTCCTTCAGGTGAGTCTTGCGGTGGGCTAGCCACTTCGGAATTGCGGTCTGCGTCATTGTTTGCCCTGGTTAATGGAGATGGGGCTGCGCGTCTTTTTGTTGTTATATCTGGGGTTGCCGCATCGGAAAAAGTCTGTGGAGAGACTCCTTCCTCCTCCAACAGTTCATCTAACAACCTTCTGCGCAGTTGATCCACGTGGCGCTGCCACGTTCGGCCATCTTCGAGCTGGACCCTGTAAGAACAGGGACTTGTTACTTTGATTACCCGGCCCGGTAACCATCGCGGCTCGCCCCCATAATTCCACGCATAGACAGGGCTTCCCTCCTTGAAAGTTCTAGATGGTCTGGGACCCTTAATGGGGAACTCAGGTGAGTAATCGGGATGCATTCTGTCCAAAGTTGTTCTCAGACGATGGCCCATCAGCATTTCGGCTGGGCTTCGGTTTGTGGAAGGGCACGGTGTCGAATGTTGGGACAGCAGATAGGCTGCTACCCTTTCTGGCCACCCGCCTGGACTTAGCCTGGCCAAAGCCTCCTTGGCGGATCTCACGGCCCTTTCAGTCAGGCCATTCCCCGCCAGATGGAATTGGGCAACCCGGGCGTGGCGAATCCCTAATGATGCTAAAAACAGCTGGAAAGTGGCGGACGTTACTTGCGGGCCATTGTCTGAAACTAAAATATCAGGAATACCATGCATGGCTGAAGCTATGCCTACTATCGATGAATGGACTTTGAAGATGGCCAGCTTTGCGGAGATGGCGAAGATTTCAGCATATTTAAAAGATCGCTCACAAGAGACTTATGTATGGGAGTGGAAAAAGTGGATAGATTATGTGCAGAATAAATATCAAACTAGGAAATATCCGATAGCTTTTAACTGAAAGTATTATATAGAGATAGAATATTTGAATTTTGTGAAGATGAGAAAAATATACAGGGGGTGGAGGGGTTCAAGTTTTATAAAAAGGGGATTTTGATTTGGATTATATTTTGTGGAAGTCTGGGAGGGAGGGGTGGGCTGGGGGGGCTAGGGAGGGTTAGGGAGGTTAGGGAGGGTTGTGGGGGCGAAACTGGGGAGAAAATGTAATTGTAAAACTTTTTCAATTAAAAAAAAAGGAATACCATGCATGGCAAACATTCCGCGCAACACCTGGATGAGGGCCTCCATGGTGGTAGACGTCATGCTCACCAGCTCTACCCATTTTGAATAGGCATCCACCACGACAAGAAAGATGTATCCCATGTACGGCCCAGCAAAGTCCAGGCAAATGCGCAACCAAGGGCCCCTCAGGGATTCCCATTCCCGGGGGGGGGGGGGGAAGCTGGTTCAAAAAGTCTAGACTGCTGGCATTTCTGGCAATTGGTAACCCACGCCGTAATGTCTCAATCTATTTTGGGCCACTACACGTAACTCCAACTAAGGCCCTTCATCCTAACGATACCAGGGTGGCTCTCATGCAAGCATTCTAGAACCGGGGTTTGCAATGTGTCCGGAATCACCATCCTATTTCCCCACAACAAACAACCCCTATGGACAGACAACTCCTGTTGTCGTAATCGGAAGGGCAGGAAAATCTCAGCAATTTGGCCATCCGGCCATCCCCTCTTTACCCAGTCAAGGACCTGCGAAAGGCTGCGATCGTTAGCCGAATGAGTTGCTATATCTCTCACGGAAATAGGGGTTTGTAACTCTTCAATGAGGAGGACAGACGAGGCAGGGGCAGGGTCCTGGACGGACACTGGTAATGGGCAGCGATTCAAAGCATCGGCATGGGCTATCAATTTGCCTGGCCGATAGCACAAAGTGTAATTATACGCTGACAAAAACACTGCCCAACGAGACATCCTGGGAGACAGAATTTGGGGGGTTTGCCTATCCCTAGCTAACAGACCCAAGAGTGGCTTATGGTCCATGACTAGTTCAAACGGACAGCCATATACATAGTCATGAAAACGCTTAACAGAGGCCACGGCGGCCAATGCTTCGCGATCAATTTGGCTATACCGGCGCTCAGTGGAGGACAATGTCCTAGAATAGTACGCGATGGGGGCTTCCTGACCGTCGGGAAGCTTATGGCTCAATACACCCCCTATGCCATATGGGGAAGCATCGGCGGTCAAGGTAAGGGGAAGGTCTGGTGTGTACTGGACCAGAACAGCCGAGGACGTGAGCAGATCCTTTACAGCTTGGAACAAGCGGTTCTCAGCTGGGGTCCAAGCCCACGGTGAGTTCCTGTCTAGGAGCCGGTGGAGAGGCTCAGCCATGCTAGCTTTATGGGGAAGAAATACACTGTAGAAATTTAATAACCCCCCAAAAGCTTGTAACTCGAATTTACTGGAGGGGACGGGGGCATGTTTGATGGCCGCCACCTTTGAAGGGGTGGGGTGAATGCCTGAGGCATCTATGAGATACCCTAAAAACTCAATCTTAGGCACACCAATGAGACGTTTGTTCTTTTTCAACTTGAGTCCAGCACTTCGGAACCGTAGTAAAACCATCTGCACACGTTTGATGAGCTCACTCCGAGAAGAAGCGGAGATGAGAACATCATCAAAGTATGGGATGACTCCAGGTAACCCAAATAACAGACGTTCCATTAAATTTTGAAAAAGGCCAGGTGCGATACTAATGCCGAATTGTAGACGCTGGCACTTAAAAGCTGCATGGTGGGTCACGATGGTCTGAGCCTCAGCAGAGGCCTCATCCACCGGGAGCTGCTGATACGCCTGAACTAAATCTAACTTGGCAAAAATGGAGCCAGGACCCAGAGTGTGCAGTAATTGTTGGACTACGGGAAGAGGATATGGGTTAGATTGTAAAGCCTTATTTAGGGTACTTTTAAAATCGGCGCAAATGCGAATAGACCCATCAGGTTTGATTGGAATTACAATTGGAGTTTCCCACTTAGAATGATCCGTGGGCTCTAATACATCCTGGGAGATGAGTTTATCCAGCTCCGCATCTACTTTTGGGCAGAGAGCCAGGGGAACTCGCCTCGGTTTGAGGCGAATAGGAGCTACCTGAGGGTCCAAATTTAGGGAAATAGGGGAACCAACATATTTACCCAAAGATCCGCTGAAGACATCAGCGAATTCCGTATAGAGAGCATCACAATCTCCTGCCGACATGGAGTGTATGCCAGAAATGCCAAGGCCCAGAGAGGTGAACCAATCTAAACCCAGAAGGTTGGGAAGGGAACCACCCACTACAATTAAAGGGAGGCGACCCGCAAAATTATTGTTTTCAACTAAAACCGGCCCTGGCCTATAATAGCAATGTGATTGCCCTGATAATCGCGTAATTTGATGGGGCAAGTATGGAGTTGGCTTTTGCGGAGGTTGGGCAATAGCTTCTTGATGGTGGTCCAGGACACAATCGCTTTAGCGGATCCGGTATCAACTTCCATCTGGCAGGCCACTCCCTCAATCTTGACCGTCAGGAACAGCTTGCTCATCTCAGGTCTGTGTTTGTTGGTGGTCACCTCGGTAACTTGGCAGCCTCGGTAGATGGCATAGCAATATTCACTGGTGGAATACGTTTTGAATTTGGGCTGCATGTACTTGGAAACCTGTGAGGACTGTTTACCAGACCGGCAAACGCGAGCAATATGGCCCTGTTTCCCACATCAGCGACATGTGGCGGATCGGAAATGGCAATTTGCCTGAATGTTCTGTCCCCACACACGCACACAACCAGCCAGCCGAGGGTTAAATATACTCTTCAAACACTCAACGTCAGTGATAAGGAACTTGGCAGCAACTCTGTAGCTGCCTGCGAAGAACTTTTACTCCGATAACACAGACAAAAATACACACAGTTTGAATAGTCCAGTTTGTAATTAAATCCACAGTAAATAGGCGTTGTGTCCAAAGGTGCAAAGTGACTCGCCAGAGATTTAGCTTTGTCCGTCACAGAGTCCGAATGGCCACCACACTCCCTTTTATAGCCTGTGGGGTGTGGTCCAGTGACTCAGCTTAATCTCTGGCACGCCTCCTTTTCTGCTGCGCACGCTTGTCTCTCCGACGCTGGCGTGGGTCCAACCACAATGTTTCTTCGTCACTATCCGATGGCTCGGAAACACCTGGCTCCTGGCCAATCTCTTCTCCTTCGGGAGACACCTGAGGCATTGCCAGAGAGGAGGGTCCTGGAGAGGGAGGCCTGGCTGTCTCCTGTCCTTCATGTTCAGAGCCTTCTTCCTCCGATAAGATAGGCTCGGAGGACGGAGCCACAACACTATCCCCCACCGCAGGGCCCTTCCCCCGGGTCTGACGGTCGGGATGTGGTCGGGACGGGAACTGGTCGTGAAAGGCCCGTACCAGGTCAGGGGCCTGAATGGAAGAAGCGTCCACCCAGCTGAAATCCTCAGGCCCATACCCCTTCCAGGTGATGAGGTATTGGAAGCACCCCTTCAGCCAACGGGAGTCCCGGATGCTGTCCACCTCGTACGTCGAGGTACCGTCCTCGTCAGCTGCGGCTGGGGGGGCAGGCGTTGTCGGGCGTCGGAGATGGCTCGCTGGGGCCTCAGGGACCAGGAGGGATTGATGGAAAACGGGGTGGAGCCGCATGGAGTGTGGTAGAGTCAACCGGTAGGCCACCGGGTTGATGACCGCCTCAACGGGGAAGGGACCAATAAAGCGGTGGGCCAGTTTCTTCACCGGCCGGTCCATGGGGAGGTGTTTCATGGACAGCCACACCCGATCTCCAACTTCCAGCGGTGGCATCGCCCGTGGGCAGTGGTGCATTGGGCAGCAGGTCCACCGGGCAGTTGTAGGGTCAGTGCGGGGGTAATCGGTCCACCTCCTTTTCGCTGAACACATCGGCAAAGGGCGTCAGCTCAGGAAGCAAGGAGACGGCCGGGGTGGAGACGTCCTGGCTGGCACAGGTGTGGCGGAGATGGTCAACACACTGCAGGCTCGGGAACGAGATGGCGTTTCTCGACCATGCCACCTGAGGATTGTGGGCCTGAAGCCAGGCCATCCCCAGGACCAATGGAAAATGAAGGTCCGCCGTCACGTAGAACTGGATCGCCTCTTCGTGGTTCCCAATGGCGAGGCGCAAGGGCTGGGTAGCAAATTTGATGGGCCCCGCCACAAGTTCCCGCCCATCGACAGTCTCAACACTCAATGGAGGGTCCACCGGAACCAAGGGGACTTTAAAATGGGCCACAAAGGCCTGGTCCATGAAGTTGTCATGGCCCCCGAGTCCACCAGCGCGTGCGCCTGAAGCCCCTCCGACAAAACCAACAAAACTCGGGTGTCCAGAATCAGGTGCCGAGGGGGCTCACAGTCCACAGCCGCCGACTCCGGCGGGGCATGACTATGTGCCTGGCCCAGGGTTTCCCCTAGGCCAGGCCTGGCCCGTTTCCCGGCTGGTCACGCCGAGATTCCGGAACAGGCTTGAGCACCCCACTCCGCTTCCTGGGACACGAGGCGGCAAAATGTCCAGCCTTGCCGCAATAGAGGCACAATCCCCCTTGGCGTCTTTGCATCCGCTCCTGGGCCATCATTTGAGGTCTGGCTGCTCCGAGCTCCATGGGCTCCTCAGCCATTGCCACAAAGCGCGGGGTGGTCTGGGGCACTGTAGGTGCGAAACGCGGAGGTGCCGAAGTTGCCTGTGGTTCCAGAAGGGGCCGACGAGGCCGTTGCCATTGAAGGCGGGCGTCGATGCGCAGGCATTGGGTCACCAGCGCGTCGAGGGTCTGAGGCACTTCCATCCGGACCAGTTCATCCTGCAGCTCGTCTGAGAGGCTGTCCTGGAAGGCATCCATCAGCGCCACCTCATTCCAAGCCGAGTCCTGGCCTAGAAGTCGGAACTCAGCAATATAGTCCTGCAGGGGGCGCTTCCCTTGGCGGAGGTCTTTGATGTGCCTCGCTGCCACCTGAACCCGGAGGGGGTCCTCATACATCACGCGCAGGTGTTGCAAAAAGCCCTGATAGTCCAAGAGTAACGGGCTGTTTTGCAGCAACAGGGGTGTGGCCCATCGGGCGGCAGAACCAGAGAGGGAGCTAATCACGAATGCCACCCGAGCCCGGTCATCGGGAAAATCCTCCGGCCTCATCGCCATGAAGAGTTGGCATTGTCCCATGAAGGCCAGGAACATCTCCGGCTGCCCAGAAAACCTATCTGGCACGTTCACTGGGCATCTCGAACGGGGAGGAGGAGGAGGGGGAGCTGCAGGAGCATTTCCCAAAGCAAGTTGGGCAGTTAACTGTGCCACTTGCTGCTGCAGGAGCTGATTGGCATCTAGCAGCTGCTGTACCTGCTGCTGCAGCTGTTGGTCCATCATGGGTTAACAATGGTTTATGTTCAGGTGACGGACAAGATGTTCTGTCCCTGTCCCACATACGCACCTAACCAGCCAGCCAAGGGTTAAATAAACTCTTCAAACACTCAATGTCAGTGATAAGGAACTTTTCAAGAACTTTTACTCCGATAACACAGACAAAAATACACAGTTTGAATAGTCCAGTTTGTAATTAAATCCACAGCAAATAGGCATTGTGTCCAAAGGTGCAAAGTGACTCGCCAGAGATTTAGCTTTGTCCGTCACAGAGTCCGAATGGCCACCACACTCCCTTTTATAGCCTGTGGGGTGTGGTCCAGTGACTCAGCTTAACCTCTGGCACGCCTCCTTTTCTGCTGCACACACTTGTCTCTCCGACGCTGGCGTGGGTCCAACCACAATGTTTCTTCGTCACTATCCGACAGCTCAGAAACACCTGGCTCCTGGCCAATCTCTTCTCCTTTGGGAGACACCTGAGGCATTGCCAGAGAGGAGGGTCCTGGAGAGGGAAGCCTGGCCGTCTCCTCTCCTTCATGTTCGGAGCCTTCTTCCTCCGATAAGATAGGCTCGGAGGACAGAGCCACAACATCGAAGGTGATTTTCACTGCAACTGAGGCAAAATGATTTTGAGGATCTTGGTTGTCCCATTGGGCCCCTTTTTATGGTTGTAGATGCCTTTAAACAACTGACATCCCCCTCGTTTTCCTCATCCGTAGCCTCGTCCTCATAATGAACAACGGTGGCTAAACCAGCATGTGTTGAAATTTTCTTATATCCATTGCGGACTTATGGGACATCTCGGCAGCTTGGGCCTCCTCAAGTGCCGTTGGGAGGTCCAACTCCTTCCTTGCTAGCAGCCTCCTTTGAAGTCGGATGTCCCTGATGCCGCAAACTAACTGTTCTACAAGGGCATCATCCAAGTCCCTGAACTCACAGTCTAAAGCTGCCATTCGGAGGCAAGCCATGTATTGGTTTATGGACTCCCCTTCCTCTTGCACTATCTGTCTCAGGTTAAAACAGCAGGCTATACAGGAGGGAGGGAAGGAACTGGCGAGTAAAGACTCCTCAGTTTCTCTCGTAATGCCTCCTAGGGAGCCGTGTGTACTGGAAGAGGAGCGACTAATGCCCTTGTCGTTGCGAATACTTCTGGCCCACAAGCATTTAGAAAATGAGCGCACTTTCGGCTGCTTGAAAGTTCAGTGAATTCATTCGCTTCTAAGTAACACTCGAATCTTTCCTCGTACGCCTGCCATGTTTCTGCAGCTGCGTTAAATGGGGCGAACGTAGGAGGGGCCATATTCCTGTCAGGTTCATTTGTATTTTACTTTACCTCAGTGCGGCCGCTCAGAATAACATTCACTTCTTCCGTTGCCTCAAAATCCCACCTTCGTCGCCACTTGTTGTGTTTGGATTATAGTCATTAACTGAGGTGAGGATGTCAACGTAACATCGGTTTATTCCAGCCAACAGCAAAACATTAGAACACTGAACTGTCAGTCTATCTGACAGCTCGCCTTTTTATATTTGGCAAAAAGAACAGCAGTAACCAATCAGGAAACGAGTAACCTCCCGAGCTTAGCATAACCCCGTCCCAACCAATCAGGTGCAGGCATTTCCATCACTATGGTAACGCGCCGACACAACAGAATCCAGCACAAAATCTAACTTCATTTTTCCACTCTTAAAAACAGTAGCAGCTAAGAATCCACTCGATAGATTAGTTTCAGGAAGCAAAAGAGACGCAGGGCCAGATCCTGAGAGTGTCCTTTCATGTAGCTGCTGAGCTTCTTCCAACTCCAACTTAGGCACCTAATGGGCCCCGTGGGCACATGCGCACTGGCTGCCAAAGTAAGAACACTTCACACCCTTTCACTTTCCACAGGCTCCATATTGGTCCCTCTAGGCCTGTAAAAGAACCCCCCCATCCCCACCACCCATGTCAAGCTGCCCATGGCTTCCCAGCCACACCCACCTAGTTGCGGTGACCTGGCTGTGACCACCCAGTCACGCCCACCTGGATACTGTGAGCATTACATGGAACTGGCCCTTTGAGGGCAACCAGAATGCTGATGCGGCCCTCAATGAAATTGAGTTTGATATCCCTGATCTTGACTGTACCCATTATCCATTACATACTGTATAAGCTATGAAATGGTTTATGTTGCCAGAAAGATACTCTTAAGACAAATAGTGTTATAAATGATACTTACAGCAATGTGGAAGTCAATCAGATTGTGACACATACTGATTTTCAAAAATATATACAGAATCTGTAAACACAGACTCCATTTTCTCTGCCTGAAACATAAATAAGGGTGGATAGAATGGATTGATGGATATAATGGATTTGGTCCACCAAGGATCGACTTGCCAGTAAAAAAATAAAAAGGGAATTCCCTCACTTCTAATTATTCCAATAACACAAAGGATATATGATTTGGTTTTTTTAACCAAGGACAACAGTAGGTGTTTTGCCTTTGTAACATCGTGAACACCATCCAGCAAAACTAGAGTTTCAAATGGGCTTTGCAATTAGTTTCCAAAAAGAAGTTGGAAGCTGCCTGACATGAAGAACTTGAAATTATTCTTTTTCTTGCTGCTTTTCACACAAACACTACTTCCTTTCATAAATATTAAGAGACATAGCCTAGTGTAAACTATTTTTCTCTTCCCCTAAATTAAAATACCCTTGCTTGGTCAATTTTGTGTCAAGTAAAATTAAAAAATAGAGTAAGAGTATGTAAAAAAGTTCAAATTTATAATATTTTGAACTCAAAATGCTTTATTGCACACCTGATAGCTGTTTGATATAAACTTTATATCTAAATGCAGTAATAAAATTTACTTTAAATTATTATAAGGAATTTACAACATAGCTTAGTAAACTGGTAAATAGAAATATTTTTAACTCTAAGGAAATTACGTGTGCAAAATCTTTACCTAGAATACTTTTTAAATAGTAATATATAATATTATGTAGTTTCACACCTGTTGTACAATTGTTGTTAATTCGAGGCAGAGTTGTATGACATTGTTCCTTGTGACAGAATAATCTGTTACAGCAGCAAAAGGTGATCTGGAAAAATAAAATATGGCAAATATAAATCTTGTTAATAGTGATCTTCTATTATGCTAACTATACAACATTTTAAAATAATATTGAATATTAAAACTTGTCATCTGTTCGTTAAGCTGGAGCTGTGATCCCAGAAAGATCCCCAGGTAGCACACCTCTCTCTAATGGAGAATGCAGCCCCATCCAAAATTAATGAGGGAGATCTATGTTGTGCTTCCATCATGAAAAATACATTAACTACTATAACTAGATTGATTCTCTAAGAATTAGCTATTTTAAGCAGGGAGAAAGAAAGAAAAACAGTTTTAAAAAATATATCACACATTTTTATTGTTTTCACATTTCTTCTATTGAATTTCTGTAAACTCAAAACAGCACTGCAATAAATAGCAGAAGTCAGATCATGTGGAATATAATTTTGCATCAAATATTTTAGGTTGCTTTTTATGAAAAATCTTTAGTATAAAGTATTCTAAATTTAATTTGCTTAAGAATAATAAACTGTCTTTAAAAATAATTATTTTATAACACTGTTCTCCTATATAGCAGAATTTAAATTTAAAATGGAAATATCCAGACTACAAAGCTACCTTTTCAGTTATTACATTATTTTTGTAATAAATATAAAATATTGCTAAAATTATTTGACATTCATCTATCTTCAATATTAATTATCTGAAATGCTAGCACCACATGTACTCCAAGTGCATATATTCTATAATATCTGTTCATGTTAAATCACAGAGAAGTGGATGTTCTGTTTTTAGTATGTCTTGTTAAGCAGTTATAACTTTTTTTTTCAATTGCATATTTAAACTGTATTTATTTTCCTTATGTTTTGTATTTTCTTCATTCCATGTCTTACATTTTCTTGAAACACACTGAAGCAATTTGCCATTCATTTCTGCTGTGTTTGATTTTGGTATTGGTTCTCAGGCCAATAGGGTTGGCCTCTCTCATGCTTTCTCCAGTTGTTAAATTAAAGCATGAGGGAAGCTCTTTCCTCTACTAGCAAAAGTAACCTTACCAGAAACTCCCATTCCCACTGGTATTGTTCTCTGGGTCTTTGAAGCTACAGAACCTTTCCACTTCCACATTTCCATTAGAACATCAAAGATCAGGGTCTTTTCAGTGGCAATAATGGTTATAAAAGCTGGAGAGAAATCAGGCAGATACATTGAGATGCATCTGAAAACAGGGCATATGCTGCAAGATCCAATCAATCACTTTCCTGGACTAAATAAAAGCTGGCTGCTCCCTTAATCGTAGTAGAAGCTCACACACATATATACTCATGTGATATAAAAAGATAATGGATTAGAAGCAATGATTTTGTTGGGTAGGTTAAATATAAAAAGTAGTAATAGGTAGATGGACCAAATCAAAAATACATTTAATGACCTGGTTCAGCAACTATTCTGACACCGCTAAAAGGTGGTACTTTCAACTGTCTCAAATTTTCAGCCATTGTAGCACCCCATAGAATCACGTGATCATGATCCATGCCCCTAGCAACTGTCCTGGACATACCACAGTCACATGATCACAATTTATTACCTTTCCTGATCAGCAAAGTCAGGAGGAAGCCAGCAGGAAGTTGGAACTTGTATCATGTGAGATCCTTGCTTAATGACCCACACAATCCTTATTTAATAATGGTAACCAGGGAATACCAGTTATGCCATCAATAAGCAGTTTAGTCTTTTGGCAAAAATTGTAATTGAGTAAAATGTATTTCAACTTGAAAAACTGTATAAGATAAGAAATGGCCAATTCTCTGTTCAAAAAAAGATGTGGGTGAATATGGGGGGAAAAATGAATAAAACTGGATTCAAAGAATAATAATAAGCAGTTTAGTCACATGACATTAAGTTTTATGGTTTCATAACTTAGCTATAAAAATGCTGAGTTCAATTGCCACTGTTAAGCAAGGACTACCTATAAAGACATAGAATAGAATAGAATAGAATAGAATAGAATGGACGTTGTCTTACCTGAACGTCCCTTTTCTGGGCGCTGCGTACACTATCCATGCATGGGTTAATCCTTCAGTGCTTGGCAAACAACTGAGTGAAAACAAAAGACTTTTCCTCCCCTTTCCGGCTCCCAAGCCATGCCTCTGTTCCCATGATTCCCCAGTCTGAACGAAGGCGCAGCAGACAAGAAACCACACTATGAGTAACTTAAAAACTCAACTTTATTAACTCAAATTAACGTAATGGAAAAAAGAAAAGAGCTAGTCTCAGTCATAAGCAGGGGCAGTCAGCCCTAACGGGTGGGATATGGATAGTGTACGCAGCGCCCAGAAAAGGGACGTTCAGGTAAGACAACGTCCATTTTCCTGTGCGCTGCTCCCACTATCCATGCATGGGATATACCCAAGCTTAAACTCCCTGGGTGGGAAGCTGACTGCCTCCAGAGTCCTCCGTCAACACCTTCTGCAGTACTCTGCGGCCAAACGATGCCTCAGCCGAGTTGAACACATCGATCTTGTAGTGTCGGATGAACGGTGTGAGGGACGACCACGTCGCAGCTCTGCAGATGTCCACGACCGAGGCTTGAGTGGCCCAAGCCGCCGTGGTGGCCGCGCTGCGAGTCGAGTGCGGTAGGATCTTGCCGGGACCCGGTTTGGAGGACAGGTCATATGCCAAGGCGATGCAGGCCTTGATCCATCTGCTGACCGTGGCTGATGATATCTTCTGACCCATGGACTTCGGGTTGAATGAGACCAGGAGACCCTCTGTACGACGGAAGGGAGCGGTCCGTTGAATGTAAATGCGGACGGCGCGTCGGACGTCTAGAGTGTGCCACCTCTTTTCTCTGGGATCACGAGGAGAAGGGCAGAAATCTGGCAGGATGAGCTCCTGGGCCCGGTGGAACCACGAGTTGACCTTTGGGATAAAGGCGGGATCCAGACGTAGCGTCACGGTTGAGTCGTGGAAGATACATAAGTCCTTGCGGACTGAAAGAGCTGCTAGTTCTGAGACCCTTCTCGCCGAGGTGATCGCCAGAAGGAAGGTCACCTTAAAGGATAGGTACTTCAGCGAGCTTGAGTCTAGGGGCTCAAAAGGGGCCTCGGTCAGCGCCCGCAACACAAGAGGCAAATCCCATGAAGGGTAACGATGCACTATGGGGGGTCGCAGGTTGGTGGCCCCATGCAGAAACTCCTTGATGCGCGGATGGTGCGCGAGGGATTGGTACGGCGGGCATGTGATGACTGTTGACAACGCCGCAGTCTGTCTACGTAGGGTTGCAGGGGCCAGGCCTCTTTCTAGACCAGCTTGTAGGAACCGCAGGATGTCCCGAGTAGTAGCTGACGTGGGGTCAATGTGCTGGTTGGCACTCCAACGACAGAACGCCTGCCATGATGACTCGTAGATGCGTGTCGTAGACGGGTGCCTGGCCGCCTGGATAGTGGCAACTACCTCGTCTGGCAGGTTATCCTTCTTCAGGATGACCCGTTCAAATGCCAGACGGCTAATTGCAGCCACTGAGGCTCTGGATGCGTGACTGCTCCCTGGCACAGGACGAGCTGTTGTGGTGGGATCACCCATGGTTGTTCCACGGACAGTGCCACCAGGTCGGCGAACCATGGTCTCCGGGGCCAGTTCGGGGCTACCAGGAGTAGGTCTGCTTTTTCTGCCAGTAGCCTTCGGATGAGGCGTGGGAGTAGCGGGACTGGTGGAAATGCGTACAGGAGACCCCTGGGCCACCTGCAGCGTAGCGCATTGTGGTCCTCCGCCTGTGGTGTCGGGTAGCGAGAAATGAAGCGGGGAAGTTGGGCGTTGGCTGGGGTCGCGAAGAGATCTACTGCCGGGTTTCCGAAGCGCGAGGCGAGTTCTTGAAACAGCTGAGGGTGGAGCTGCCATTCCGCTTGATCTATTGTTTCGCGGCTGAGCCAGTCCGCCCTCACATTGGTTGCGCCCGAAATATGATCTGCTCTGATCGAGAGTAGGTGTCTCTCTGCCCAGCTGAACAGCTCTGCGGCCTCCCGCATCAGGGTACGAGACCTTGTGCCCCCCTCCCTGTTGACGTGCGCTTTGGCCGAGATGTTGTTGGTCAGGATTAGGATGTGATGCCCCTGCACCGTCGGCTGGAAGCTGCGCAGAGCCAGCTTGATCGCCCGCAGCTCTAGGAGATTGATGCTGCATAGCCGTTCCTGAGGCGACCACTGACCCTGCGTGACTAAGTTGTGGAGATGGGCTCCCCACCCCCGAAGGCTGGCGTTGGTGGTAAGAATCAGGCGGTCCGGCTCTAGGAAGCTGGACCCCTTGAGGAGTGATGGGGATGTCCACCACCTGAGAGAACGGCGGACCTGGGGAGTGAGACGAACTTCCCTCTTGGAGTTGGCCCTTCCCGTTCGCTGGAAGGGAAGGAGGAACCACTGCAAGGGTCTCGAATGTCTGCGTGCCCACGGTACGATGCCGAAGCAGGATACCATCTTGCCCAGGAGGCTTGAGAGGTGGCACAGTGCAGCTCTCCTCCCCGACAGGGTCTGCAGGATCAGAGTTCGGATGCTCTGGACTCTGTCCGGTGACAGGAACACCTGGCCGCTGGACGAATCTATCACCGCCCCTAGGTGGAGAAGTCTGGTGGTGGGCTGAAGTTGACTCTTTGCAAAGTTTATGGTGAAACCGTGATCCTGGAAGATCTTCATCACCATCTTCATGTCTCTGGAGGCCTGGTCGGGCGTGGACGACAGGACAAGAATGTCGTCCAGGTAACAGAGAACCCGGATCGGGACGGCTCGGAGCCTGGCCGCCACCACCGCTACCAGTTTGGTAAAGGTGCGCGGGGCCGACGAGAGTCCGAATGGCATCGCACGATATTGGTAATGCCGGCCTGCATACTCGAACCTCAGGTACCGACGGTGATGCGGGTGAATGGGCACATGGAGGTAAGCCTCCTTGAGGTCGACCGACTGAAGGAAGTCGCCCTGTCTCACCCCCGCTAAGATGGACCTGAGGGAGTGCATTTTGAACCTGCGGTATTGAACGGAC